AACGGAGGAACCCTTTCGCTTCCTTTCTCCGGGGACGACGGCCTGAGCCGATTCGGCGGGGGTTCCCTCCACCGGCTGGAGGGCGCGGGGGCTCTCCCCCCGCCTCCATGGGGGCGTGGGGCGGGGGTCCTGGGGCTTCGGCGGCAGCTTGGGGGAGGTCCCCCGCGGTCGGAGGGCGAGGGCCCGCACCGCGCCCCCCGCCCTTCCCCGTAGGTCAAGTTGGGCAGTGACCTCCTCCAGCCGAGGACGCACCGAGGGGAGGAGGAGCGGGTTCTCCAGGTGCTCCCGGGCCTGCTCCAGAAGCGATCCGCACTCGGTGTGGCTTCCGGCCCACGGCTGCCGCCACCTCCAGCATCTTCGCCCCCGTCGGCTTGCCCGGGGCACCCGCCTGGAGGTGCAGCCCCAGCTCCATGCTGTTCGGCTCCATCACCGGCGTTCCCCCCGCTCGGCGCCCCGGGGTGTGGCCCCTCCCCAACCTCAGCAGCTCTTCCTTGCTTGAGGGCGTGTGGGGCAGGCGGGCGATGCGACCGCCTCGAGGGGGCGGGGAAGCAGATCTTCCCTCCGCGCGCAGGATAGAGCGCGGCTCCCCAAGGGCGTTGCACAGCGCCTCCCCTCCCCGAGCTTGCTGCCCGGGAGGGATGGCCCGCGCGTAGGGGTGGGGGGGGCACCTACAGGTCAGGAACTTCGCCCACTGTAGCAGGTCGGCTAGCGTACAGGGCTTCCCCCCGCCCTCACTTGCTCCCCCCAGCTGGGCATAGGTGGCCTCCGTGATTTCCTGGGCGTCAAATGGGGGGCGGGAGGCGTTGAAGCGCCCCTCGGAAGAGAGGCTCCAGGGTCCCACCGCCCATAGTGGGAACGTCAGCTCAACCTCCACTCCTGGCATCCAAATCCCCGCCCAGTCCTTCTTTCCTCCTCTCCCCCGCGCCTCTCCCCGCCCTATCCCTCGGGCAGTAGTGTAAGGGCGGGCGCCTTCCCCGGTGTCGGCGGGCTCGTAGAGGCGGATCAAGTACTTCCGTCCGACCGTATCCTCCGCCTGGGTGGGGATGGTCGGAGGTGGCGTAGCCCTCCCCCCATTCACAGTCGTGGGGGCCGCCCCATCACCCTCGGGGGGGCCTTCAGACATGAGTGCGCCCGGGACGCCGTGCGTCAGCTGGTGGCAGTCAGGTCCCGCCGGCACGCCAGGGGCGGCCGCGGGGTTAGGGGGCGCCTCGCTGGAGGCGGCCGGCTCCGCGGGCGGGGGGGAAGGAGGCTCCCCGGTTGTCCCCAGTGCGGGCCTCCCCTCCGCAGGGCCCGCCGCGGGGGCCGCGGAGGGCTCAGTGGCCGGCCCGGCATCACTAGGCGCGCTGGGTCAAGGGGGGACTTGCTAGTATCCGCCCTTCCCTCCCCCTCTCGAGCAGGCTGCGGAGAGGGGTTCGCGTGCCTGAGGCAGAGGCGCTTCCCACCGAACCCGGGTTCCCCGATGTGCCAGCAGCCTGGCTCCGAGCACTGGGGGCTCAGGCGGAGGTTGTGGTACTCCAGGCCGTGGTAGCGGCACGAGCAGGCCATCGGTGCCCCTCCCCCGTTGCGCGGCCATCCCCGGGTGTCGGACGTGGGCCCGTCCTCGATGAGCAAAGGGGTGGGCTTAGGTCCCCTCCGATCCTCGCAAGTGCCATGCTTCTGGAGGCAACAGTACCCTCCCTTCGCGTCTACCCAGCCCACTGCTTCGGCCATGCAGGGTTCCCAGTCGTCTTCTTCCTGCTGAGGTCCCCGGGGGTTCGCGGTGACCCGGCGCGGTCCCGGCCGGTGTAGGCGGGCCCCCCTCCGGCAACAGCAACAACCCCGGGCCAGGAAGGAATGGGCGATGCGCTGGACCCCACCACAGAATGCCCTCCAGAGGGTGCGGAGGCCGGCCAGGAAGGGGCTTCCCAGGTCCCTGTCCTCGGCGAGGTCGAGGATGGCCTTGGCGTCCTCGCGGTATATTTCCGGAAGTGCATGGCGAAGGCGTCCACGCTGGAACAGCTGTCCACGGGTCCTGCCCTGCAGAGGTGGACCACCTTGGTGTCCGCACCCTCCAGGCCGCGTCGGAGGTCAGGGTCCGTGCAGTCATGCACCCGGGCGTACGGGAAGTCCTGGCCCGCCCGCTTCTCCTTCCGGATGGGGTCGCCGTACTGCCCTCGATCCAGGCGTACCCGCTGGCCCCCGACTTCAGCTACGAGGTGATTGGGCAGCCTCGGGGGCTGGTCGCTCCTCCCACGGATGACGTTCTTGAAAAAATCGTCGTCCACGGGTTGGGCATCAGGCCCCCTCCAGTCGAGGTCGAGGAGGAACCGGCGGTTGTCCTCCACCCGGGTGCAGAAGTCGCGGAAGGTGGGGGAGCGCCTCAGACGGCGGTAGAACCAGAAAAAGGGGCGGGCCAGGTGGTCGAGGAGGAGAACCAGAAAGCATATTCCCATGGCGCCCAGGTAGAAGGAGCCCAGCACGTACACGCCTACCTTAAAGCTCACCCACCTTTCCCCCGCAAAAACGGTCAGGCCGGCATCTAGCCATCCGTAGGACCACGCGATGAGGCGGAAGAAGAAGTTGGGGCTCGGGACGCTCCGGGCCTCCAGCGCCACTTCCCGGCGGCGGCCGGCAAATCAGTGGTTCTCCCACCAGAGGGTCGCGCCCGCCTCCTCCTGCTCCTCCTCCGTGGGGGTGGGAGAGGCCCACTTCAGCCACTCCACGAACTCCTCCGCGGGAATTTGCTTGGACCAGGGTAGCCAGTCCCCCTGCTGCGGAGCGGGGGAGGTGCGCCCCGCGGAGGGCCGTGTGCGGCGGGGGGGCGGTCCCCGAGCCTGGCCCCGCAGGTGCGGGCGGTTCGGCGGGGGCGGAGAAGCTCCACCAGAACGGGGTCGGTGTCCCACCTGGGGTGTTCTTCGGCGGGGTCGGCGAGGGCGTCCTCCCTTCGGCGGGGCTCACCGCCGGTGTGGCAGACGGGGGGGCTGGCGTGCGGGCCCCCCCAAGGGAGTCGCCCCAGCGTACGGGCGGCACGTCCACGCTGGTGGGGCTGGCCTGCGGCGATGCCGGGGCGAACGCGAACGACGCGAGTTCCCCCCGCCAGAAGGGGGTAGGCGTGCCACCCGGGGTGCTGCCTTGGGCCGAGCCTCCCGCCCTGGCG